CAACAGTTGGTGCGATTATTCGCAGATGGAAGAAACACAAAAGAACTGTCAATCTCCCTCGGCCTGGGGCTCCATGCAAGATCTCACCTCGTGGAGTTGCAATGATCATCAAAACGGTGAGGAATCAGCCCATAACTACACGGGAGGATCTTGTCAATGATCTCAAGGCAGCTGGGACCATAGTCACCAAGAGAACAATTGGTACACACTACGCCGTGAAGGACTGAAATCCTGCAGCACCCGCAAGGTCCCCCTGCTCAAGAAAGCACATATACATGCCCATCTGAAGTCTGCCAATGAACATCTGAATGATTCAGAGGACAACTGTGTGAAAGTGTTGTAGTCAAATGAGACCAAAATGGAGCTCTTTGGCATAAACTCAACTCGCCGTGTTTGGAGGAGGAGGAATGCTGCCTATGACCCCAAGAACACCATCCCCACCGTCAAACATGGAGGTGGAAACATTATGCTTTGGGGGTGTTTTTTCTGCTAAGGGGACAGGACAACTTCACCGCATCAAATGGACGATGGACGGGGCCATGTACCGTCAAATCTTGGGTGAGAACCTCCTTCCCTCAGCCAGGGCATTGAAGATGGGTCGTGGATGGGTATTCCAGCATGACAATTACCCAAAACACACGGCCAAGACAACAAAGGAGTGGCTCAAGAAGAAGCACATGAAGGTCCTGGAGTGTCCTAGCCAGTCTCCAGACCTTAATCCCATAGAACATCTGTGTAGGGAGCTGAAGGTTCGAGTTGCCAAACGTCAGCCTCGAAACCTTAATGACTTGGAGAAGATCTGCAAAGAGGAGTGGGACAAAATCCCTCCTGAGATGTGTGCAAACCTGGTGGCCAACTACAGGAAACGTCTGACCTCTGTGATTGCCAACAAGGCTTTTGCCACCAAGTACTAAGTCATGTTTTGCAGAGGGGTCAAATACTTATTTCCCTCGTTAAAATGCAACTAAATTTATAACATTTTTGACGTGCGTTTTTCTGGGATTTTGTTGTTGTTACTCTGTCTCTCACTGTTCAAATAAACCTACCATTAAAATTATAGACTGATCATTTCTGTGTCAGTGGGCAAACGTACAAAATCAGCAGGGGATCAAATACTTTTTTGCCCTCACTGTACATGTTAAACCCATAAGAATAGGAATCCACTAGCAGCAGCAGCAGCAGCAGATGCCCTACGATGCAACAATGTTAGACAAACTTCCCAGGCAGTGGCAGTGGGTAGCACGACCACGTGACGACGCAATAACAACGTTCCGATTCAGGCACACCAAGGAGGAGACATCGTCATCATCACGGCGACGGCGACGACGATGATGATGACGATGATGATGACGAGCCTCCACTTGCTTGCTCCTGACGCGGCTGTCCGGCTTGACCCACAGCAGTGGCTAGGAGATGTTAACTACCTCGCCTGGTACACAGGAGGTCGTGGGCTCAATTCCGACCCTGATGAGATGTTAACTACCTCGCCTGGTACACAGGAGGTCGTGGGCTCAATTCCGACCCTGATGAGATGTTAATTACCTCGCCCGGTACACAGGAGGTCGTGGGCTCAATTCTGACCCTGATGAGATGTTAACTACCTCGCCTGGTGCACAGGAGGTCGTGGGCTCAATTCTGACCCTGATGAGATGTTAACTACCTCGCCTGGTGCACAGGAGGTCGTGGGCTCAATTCCGACCCTGATGAGATGTTAACTACCTCGCCTGGTACACAGGAGGTCGTGGGCTCAATTCCGACCCTGATGAGATGTTAACTACCTCGCCTGGCACACAGGAGGTCGTGGGCTCAATTCCGACCCTGGTGAGATGTTAACTACCTCGCCTGGTACACAGGAGGTCGTGGGCTCAATTCCGACCCTGATGAGATGTTAACTACCTCGCCCGGTACACAGGAGGTCGTGGGCTCAATTCTGACCCTGATGAGATGTTAACTACCTCGCCTGGTACACAGGAGGCCGTGGGCTCAATTACGACCCTGATGAGATGTTAACTACCTCGCCTGGTACACAGGAGGTCGTGGGCTCAATTCCGACCCTGATGAGATGTTAACTACCTCGCCTGGTACACAGGAGGTCGTGGGCTCAATTCCGACCCTGATGAGATGTTAATTACCTCGCCCGGTACACAGGAGGTCGTGGGCTCAATTCTGACCCTGATGAGATGTTAACTACCTCGCCTGGTGCACAGGAGGTCGTGGGCTCAATTCCGACCCTGATGAGATGTTAACTACCTCGCCTGGTACACAGGAGGTCGTGGGCTCAATTCCGACCCTGATGAGATGTTAACTACCTCGCCTGGTACACAGGAGGTCGTGGGCTCAATTCCGACCTTGACGATGCCTTCTGCTGTACATTTGGAGTCTGCGTCTCTCTCTCTCGCTCTCTCTCTCTCTCCCCAGGTGGTCACTGTGTGGATTTTTTTTCTCCGGGTCCTCCGGGCTTTGTTACCCTCCACACATTCACAATCAATGTCACCTCGCGTTTGGAGTGTATGGGTTGCCATGAATCTCCACGTGATAAGCAACGAACTTGGCCGAGGCACCGTTTGCGATAGGCAGGAGGGCTTCTGACCACAACAAGCCATTCAGCTCGCTGGGTACCTTTCACTGGTAGAATATTTAACGTGGAGTTGCATTCATATTCGTTGATTTTTTTTCTCCGGTAAAGTCACGTAGATAGGTTCAATTTTTTTTTTTACAAAAAAAACGTGTTTTTTTTTAATCTTAACCTCATGTTAACCTATCCACGTGACTTTACCGAAAGACTCAACGAATGTGAATTCCCGCAGTCACGAATAGCTTTAAGTCAACATTTTAGGTGCATATCTGTCAACCCACACGGTTCAGTTTAACACGTAGGCTTTCGTGATCAATATCATTGCATCCATAATGCAGGTTGTTATTATTATTTTTTTAGGTTAGATCGCTGAAATATACAATTCTCCACTGCTCTCCAGGTCGCGGGGTCAAATGTTTCCAGAGACCGGGGGGGCGCTATGGGTGGATGTTTGCCAGAAGTACCGTGGCTAAGGGCTTCGGATTTCATTTCTAAAACCATCACCGACAAACCCGTCAACCCCGAATCAGTGCCCTACCTTATTACAGACCAATTCAGACCTTAGAAATCTCAACGTTAATCCTGCAACGTTCCATAACAAGGGGGAAATACAAACAAATATATATTTTACAAGGATGCAGGATAAACCGCATGGTCCATAAGACATTTGTTTGTGTAAGATCGCGTAAATATTTTAGAAAATTATTCATAGGAACCCACAGAGACTCACAACAGATGCAGAGAGGCCCATACAGACACATAGAGACTCATAGAGATTCATATGGACTCGCAGAGACCCACAGAGACTTACAGAGACTCATAGAGGCTCACAGAACCCATTAGATACACATAGACACATAGAGACTCATAGAGACCCATACAGACACATATAGACTCATAGAGATTCATATGGACTCGCAGAGACCCACAGAGACTCACAGAGACTCATAGAGGCGCATAGAGAACCCATTAAATACACATAGATACATAGAGACTCATAGAGACCCATACAGACACATATAGACTCATAGAGATTCATATGGACTCGCAGAGACCCACAGAGACTCACAGAGACTCATAGAGGCTCATAAAGAACCCATTAAATACACATAGATACATAGAGACTCATAGAGACCCATCCAGACACATAGAGACTCATAGAGATTCATATGGACTCGCAGAGACCCACAGAGACTCACCGAGACTCATAGAGGCTCATAGAACCCATTAGATACACATAGATACATAGAGACTCATAGAGACCCATACAGACACATAGAGACTCATAGAGATTAATATGGACTCGCAGAGACCCACAGAGACTCACAGAGACTCATAGAGGCTCATAGAACCCATTAGATACACATAGATACATAGAGACTCATAGAGATCCATATAGACACATAGAGACTCATAGAGATTAATATGGACTAGCAGAGACCCACAGAGACTCACAGAGACTCATAGAGGCTCATACAGAATCAATAAGATACACATAGATACATAGAGACTCATAGAGACCCATACAGACACATAGAGACACGTAGATATATGGACTCATAGAGACACAGAGACAGGAGACAGAGACACAGAGACAGGAGACAGAGACACAGAGACAGGAGACAAGGCAGAGACACAGAGACAGGAGACAGAGACACAGAGACAGGAGACAAGGCAGAGACACAGAGACACAGAGACACCGAGACACGAGACAGAGACACAGAGACAGGAGACAGAGACACAGAGACACAGACACAAGGCAGAGACACAGAGAGACACAGAGACACAGAGACAAGGCAGAGACACAGAGACAAGGCAGAGACACAGAGACACAGAGACAAGGCAGAGACACAGAGACACAGACACAAGGCAGAGACACAGAGAGACACAGAGACACAGACACAAGGCAGAGACACAGAGAGACACAGAGACACAGAAACAAGGCAGAGACACAGAGAGACACAGAGACACAGACACAAGGCAGAGACAGAGACACAGAGACACTGAGACAGGAGACAAGGCAGAGACACAGAGAGACACAGAGAGACACAGAGACACAGAGACAGGAGACAGAGACACAGAGACAGGAGACAAGGCAGAGACACAGAGACACAGAGACACAGAGACACAGACACAAGGCAGACACAGAGACACAGAGACAGGAGACAAGGCAGAGACACAGAGACACAAGGCAGAGACACAGAGACACAGAGAGACACAGAGACACAGAGACAGGAGACAAGGCAGAGACACAGAGAGACACAGAGACACAGAGACACAGACACAGAGACAGGAGAAAAGGCAGAGACAGAGACACAGACACAAGGCAGAGACACAGAGAGACACAGAGACAGGAGACAAGGCAGAGACACAGAGACACAGAGAGACACAGAGAGACACAAGAGTCCACAGCTGCTCAGCTCACCTGTGGACGCTTGGAAGATCTGGGGGAGCACTGCGCGCAGTGGGATGAGAGATGGGGAGAGATGGAGGAGAGTTGGTCCTCTGGTCTCTGCCGGAGTCGCCGATGCAGCGCCGCCTCTTAAATTCACCCCGAGGGACGTGCGAGTGGGGGGTGAAGAGAGGAGGGGAGAGGTTTGGGGACCCGGCGGACCCAATCAGAGGCCTTCGCTCCCTCCCTCGAAGACTCCGCAGCCATCCATCAGCACCCCAATGAGACAAAGATTACCCGTGTAGCCTCTAGCAGACTGTCGGGGCAAGTGCTGTTAGTAGCGAGCAGCCAGCAGCACACTATGAGGGCTACCGGCACTGTGGCACACGAGGGGGTTGGTGGCCAGCACCACGCCCGGCCGCCTTTGTCTCCCCACCCCCCCCCCCCCCCCCAGTGGCGATGTTTACTACACCGCACAAGGTACACAGACATACATGCACACATGTAAACACACACACACAGACACACATAGGTACACAGAGACACACACAGAGACACACAGACACACAGAGTTACACAGATACACACACAACAACAACAACAACCGCCATTCGCCAGTAAGTGGTGGTGACATCACTACGACGCCTGTGCCAGGCCATGTGCACCTTGAGGCCACATGAAGTGTCGAACGCCCGCTGGCAGGAGGTCACGGGGCAGACCCAGGTGCCACGGGTCGACTGACTGAGATGACTGGCTGATGCACCACCTGTGCCCCCTCGTTGTTGTGAGCGTCGCTCCTCCGCCCTCCGTTGTTGTTGGAGGGCGACTGCCTCCAACTGCCCAGTAGCATCCTTCACGAGCCTCCTCCACAGAGGCCGATCTTGACACCGCTGGTACCAGTCATCGGCAAGTCCACTCAGCTCCACGTCCTCCTGTACCACATCACTCCATCTCTTCTGTAGCCCGTGCCGCGCCCGTTTAGCCCCCTCTATCTGGCCAAACAGAAGCTGTTCAAGCATGCGGTGGCTGGACATGCGGGCTACATGACCCAGCCAACGCAGCCTTGCCTGCCGGAGGAGCTGGTTAAACCTGGGATCGATCGTAGGCAAGCCAGCCTGAATATTTCTAACCAGAGAAGAAGCTCCATTAGGGGGGGGTCCACGTTTCACAAGGATAGAGAAGGGAGGGAATGACCGTGGCCGAGAAGACCTGAAGCTTAGTGCGGAGCGACAGACCAGGTAGCTTCCACACAGCGTTACACAACCGATCAGAAGCTAACGCCACTCGACTGATTCGGAGTGAGACCTCTGATGTCAAACCGGAGCTGGTCATAAGCACGCTTCCCAGGTATGGGAAACTCTCCACTCTCTCCACAACTGTTCCCGTCACCAATTGGGAGTTGTGGGGTGGAGTGTCCAATGGTAAAAAAATATCCAGGCAGGTGCTCAGTTCTGGTGGGGCTGATGGTAAGGCCCCACGTCTTAGTGGCCCGCTTCAGGTTCAGCAGCAGCGCCTCCAACTCCTCCTCTGAGTGAGCAGCAATCACCAGATCATCAGCATACGCAACATGATAAACCAATAGGGAGCCATCCTTCGACCCCACCTGGGCATCGATTAGCCTCCCATTGTATCTGTACCATATGGAGATTCCTCCGTTACAGCCATTGAAGGCTTCACGAACTATGTGGTTAGAAAAAAAAGTGAACAGGGAATGGCTCCAACTCCTGGCCATGTAGCTTTAACCCGGGCCTGCTCACCATCATGAAGGCCCTTAATTATTTTGAGCAGAGAGTCAGGGACTCCGAAAACACGATGAACAACCTACAGCCCAGCCCTATTGATGGTGTCATAGGCCTTGACCAGGTCAAAATACAGAGATGTAGGTCTTGTTGGAATTCCCTACACCTCGGCTGTCGTACGAGAACAGATAATATGGCATTTGTACAGGACCGCCCTTTCCTGAAACCACTTTGGGGCTCCGCAAGCCTCTCCTCAGGGTTCCTGGCAAGGCGATGTTGAAAAATCAGTTCCAGGACCTTTCCCGACACACTGAGGAGTGAGATGCCCCTGTAGTTGTTACAGTCTGTTACAGTCTGTGCGGTCCCCCTTCTTAAAAAGGGGGACCACCAGGGCATCCATCCGATCCCACGGAACCCGTCCAGTGGTTCAGACTGTTGTAATGATGTTATATAGGGAAGTCTGTGCAGAAACTTCACCCTCCCTCAGCAGTTCGCTTGGGAGATCATTTCTGCCCGGCGCTTTTCCTGGTCTCAGACGCTGGATCGCCTTCAGTACTTCCTCAACAAATGGCACTTGAGCCAGCCACTCACAGGGGGTGACTACGTATTCCAATATTTGAGGCACCGCAGCTTCAGCAGGGTCATCCCCACTTTGCCACATTATGTTTCCTGGGCTGAGGGATTTCCCGTTTCCCAAGATCTCACAAAAATACTCAGCAAACCTGCAAACATGTTCCTGGTGGTTGGAGATCAGATCATCTTACTTTACCCTAGGGGTGGTGATAGGTGTGGTGCCGCAAGTTACTTTGATGGAGTTAAAGAGTGATTTATGATTGCGAGCTACTGAGGCAGACTCCATCTCCTCAGAAACCCTTTCCCACCACACATCCTTACAGCAACTCACGGCTCTCCGAACCACCGAGCGAAGGCTGTGGTAAGCCTACTTATTATCTGAAATAGGATGCTGTATACGGTGGGAGTGAGCCTGTACCTTTCTCTCAGCCAGCCGGAACACCTCCTCTGTCAGCCAGGATCTCTGTGCGTGAGCCACAGTCCTAAACCTCGTCCCAGCTGCAAGCAATGATGAAATTCTGGGTAGCAATTTTCATCAGCGAGCTGAGACCAGGCCACCGTTGGTTTGAATGGGGTCCTAGTTGGACACCGTATCACCAGAGTGGACGAATTGCATGTGCATCTTACAAATTACAAGCAGATGGTCAGTGGGCAGATCAGCTCCACGGTCAGTCCTGCTGTCATGGATATACTCCCACATCCGCTGTTCCGTCACTATATAGTCCAGCATAATTTATTGCTTGGACCCGGTGCGTATCCGTGATGCTGTGTGGATGCGCCAATGCCAGAACAACGTGTTGGTAATTCCAAGCCCATGGGCTGCACAGAAGTCGAGCAGCCTCCTCCCGTTGTTATTCAGAAGATCTGTCCTATGCCTTACAATGATTCCAGCTTCATGACCCACTCGGGCATTGAAGTCACCCAACAGGATGACTCTATGCTGAGTGGCCACTTTATCCAGCACCTGTGACAGGAGGTCATAGAAGGCATCTGAATCATCGGCCTTGCTTGCATCCCTCCACTGATGTTCATCTTTGGTGGAGGCGATAGCAGCCAACACCACCACTCCTCGCCACCTATTGATGGGTAGGCTAGCCAACAGTAGCCGGGGGTTTACAGCTTCCCACACCTCACCGCCACGCTCCCACACCTCCTTCATTCTTTGTTCAGAAGAAGAGCCACTCCCCGTTGTACGGCAGTCTGCTGCCCCGAGTAGGAAACTGTCCACCCCTCATGGTGGCAGGAGCCAGAGCCGGTCCACCGGACCTCCTGAATGCCACAGAGATGCAGGCGGTAGCGGTCCAGCTCCCGACAGAGGAGTGGCAGCCTCTCCTCCGCAGTGAGCGTTCGAACATTCCACGTAGCCACCCGCAGTGGCTTTTTGTTGTTTCTAAAGGAACCCCGAGGGTAGAGATTCAGTCTCTTGGCTCGACCAGACGTCCCAGACGCCTGTCCCCGTGGGGTTTCCCGCACAATCTTAGTTACATTTTAACATCATGGTTTTGTGGTAATTAAATAGAAGGTGGAGGTGTTACGGGCCCATGCATCCATCCAGAGCCCCCATTGGCTGCTGTGGTGGCTATGAGCACTCAACCGACTCACATACCCACCCACTCACACACTCACTCACTCATCCGCCGACTTACTCATCCATTCACTCATCAGCTCACCCTCTCACGCACCCACTCACCTACTCGCAGCAGTAGTATATTTACAGGTTCATGAACAGCAGCCGCAGTATTAATCACGGCAGCCCACTCGATTCTCACCGCTCGGCTACCAACACGGCTACCCCCTGTTCGCGAATTGCCTATGCGTGGGGAATGTTGGCGCTGCGGTTAGCACGTCGCACCGCGCTATCTAACTCGACCAACATCAGCGACGGTGAATATCTTAAGCCGGTCCCGGCCCTCCTCTTGGTCGACTCAGCCCTAAATTAGTATCTGGAGCGGTGTGTATACAACATCACCCCTTCACGTGCCACCGTGCCGGCTACCACAGGCACTGCTGCTACTCCCTACTAACAGCACTTGCCCCAACAGTCTCTTAGAGGCTACAGGTCTGGGGAGAGAGAGAGAGAGAAACAAAGGCGGCTGGGCGTGGTTCCGAGGGCCTGGGTCCTGTGCGGTGTCCGTGCGCGAGTGTGTATACACAACACCAGCAACTGGGGGAGACAAAGGCGGCCGGGCGTGCTGCTGATGCTGCTGCTCGTCACGAACAGCACTTGCCCCCAACAACCTGCGAAGGCTATATGGGATAGGGATCATTGTCTTTGGTATGAGCATGGATCCCACGGACGAGATAATAGGCGCTTAATGATTGCCAGGAGCTAATCATTCACAGGCTCTCGGATGAACATCAAAGCCAAAGACAAAGAGGCCCCAGGTGGTATTCAACATGGCTGTGTGTGTGTGTGGGGGGGCAAGTGCTGAACTAAACTATATCAAAAAATTGTTTACCATGTAAGGCCGCGCTGAGCTGTTTAGCTCTTTTTCAGAAGCGACCTCTGGCGATCACAAATGACAGCTCAAAGAAGATAGTGGCTAAGATAAATGCTGAGCATTTATACTCTTTGGTTTTATTCGGTAAAGTCACGCAGATAAAATAAAACAAAATGAAATAAAACAATTAAATCACGACGTTTCGGAGGCAACACAAGCTTCCGTCTTCAGGTGGAATAGTCACAGCAGAATATCTGTGTCAAGTGCAAATATTCTGCTGTGACTGTTACACCTGATGACGGAAGCTTGTGTTGCCTCCGAAACGTCGTGATTTAATTGTTTTATTTTATTTTAATTTATTTTACCTACGTGACTTTGCCGAATAAAACCAAAGAGCATGAATCCTTGCAGTCACGAAAGCTTCAAATGCTGAGCGTTTATATTCTTAGTTTTTTCGGTAAAGTCACGTTGAAGAGAAACAACAAAATAATAAAATAT